CTCATGAGGTGCTTTTCTGCCCAGCTCTCCAGCCTGTCCAGGTCACCCTGGACAGCAGCACAGCCCTTTGGTGTGCCAGCCATCCCTCCCAGTTTGGCATCACCAGCAAACTTGCAAAAGCAGAGGACTAAAGCAGAGGGTTGGGACAGCCCCTCAACAGTGACCTACAGAGCTGGGGGAAGGACCTCAGCCCCATTTGAGGCTGAGCACTTCGTAGGCACCTACCTGGCTCTGGAAGCAGCACAGCTCTGCTCACAAAGTGGTGTGTTCTTATCCTCTCTGTTGGGCCAACTTTTCAGCCTTAAATACAGGGAGACTTCCAGGAACACTGAATTTTATCCCTCTTCTCACCAGGCTGGGAGAACTTCCAATTCATCGGGGTAATGAACAGTTAATTGTGTAGGGAAGGTTTGTCACAGCTGCACTGCTGGAGGAAAAAAGAGCATTTAGACAGTGAGGAGATTCACTAGACACCCAGAATTACCTCGTTTAGCCCTTGTCACATCCTAACATCTTTGAAAACATTTTATGCTTACTCAGTTGGCCCCTTTTTTTCACAGAAATGAGACTGCTCAGGTTCTGTTTCACAAATGTTCATCAGGAAATAAATTCTTTTATTAACAGGAACAGACACAGAAGGGCAGGTTTTATTTGACCTATAGAAAACTGCCCTTCAAAAAGAAAATGCCCAGTTCTTTCCTTGTTCCTACAAGGTACTGTGGGCATTCCAAACAAGAACAAGGAACACACCCTTGGGAGGACAATACACATAAAAATATGTGTGTGTATGTGTATATATACACACACACACATGTATTTTAGGCAGCAGAAGGCTTTAGAAATACTTTATATAAATATGCTTTTAGATGCTGTTCCTGTCTGATTTGTCAGCTGTAAAATGTTACCATTCTGATCCTGTCACAGGAAACAGATGGGTACTCGGGCTCAGACATAAAGCTCGTGTGCAAGGAAGCAGCCATGAGACCAGTCAGGAAAATCTTCGATGCTCTTGAAAACCATCAGCCAGGTACTACAGCTCTGAGCGGGGAATCCAGCCTGGGAAATGTGGATCCACAGCTGGAACTCTAGATTGTATAAAGTTAACCCCAGCAGGTGGAGCTCCGTTACCTGCTTAGGAAAGTTTGAAACCGTGCATTTCTAAAAGATGTTCCTTAGCTACCATTGCTGATAAGCAGACCCTTTTAAAAATTGTGCTCTGTGCACAGATATGTGCTTTTTATTATAAAATCCCAGACTGGTTTGGGTTGGAAGAGACCTTCAAGATCATCCAGTTCCAACCCCCTGCATGGGCAGGGACACCTCCCACCAGCCCAGGCTGCTCCAAGCCCCATCCAACCTGCCCTTCAACACTGCCAGGGATGGGGCAGCCACAGCTTCCCTGGGCAACCTGGGCCAGGCTCTCACCACCCTCACAGCAAAGAATTTCCTCCTCATGTCTCACCTCAATCTCCCCTCTTCCAATATAAAACCATTTCCCCTCATCCCATCCCTCCCTGCCCTTGTCCCAAGCCCCTCCCCAGCTTTCCTGGAGCCCCTTCAGGCACTGGAAGGTGCTCTAAGGTCTCCCTGGAGCCTTCTCTTCTCCAGGCTGAACACCCCAGCTCTCCCAGCCTGGCTCCAGAGCAGAGCTGCTCCAGCCCTCTTGTTTCTGCTCCAGGAAGGGTCTCCCCACAGCGCTGCAGGGCAGCCCTTCCCGCCTCAGCCCTTCTGCACAACCCTGGGGCCTCAGGACCTGGAAAGCAGCTGGAAGGAGGGGGCTGTGCTTTTTTTCAGATCCCTCACTGCCTGGAGAGGTCAAACTTCCCCATGGCCAAACGTGCCAAATAGGGAAACCGTGCTCTTTAAGCACGATCAGTCAGCAGTCTGTCCTCTTCATCCTTCTGCTGGAGTCTCACAGTTCAGAAGGGGAGAGAAAGTGCAGGGCAAGGTCTTCTAAGCTTATTCTGATATTTTTGTATACTAAGCGTTGCAAGGCATGGAGGTAAAAGATTGTGTTTTAGTAAGAATAACAGTGTTTATTCCATTCTCTTCAGGTAACAGCAACTTACCCGTTATCCAACTGGACACGATCACAACAGCTGATTTCCTGGATGTGATCGCTCACACCAAGCCCTCAGCAAAGAACCTGAGCCAGAAGTACACAGCTTGGCAGAGAGAATTTGAGTCAGTTTGAAAAGGAAAAACCCCAGAGAGTGAAAACTTCTTAAGACTTTCCTAAACGGCTTTGACAAGGAGCCAAAGGATTGAATGGTGCTGGGGAAGGAAGTGCTTGTTGCTCCCAGGGAAGAGGAGGCAGTGAGAAAGGTCAGGGTGGGAATCTTCACTTTTGAAAATTTAATAGGGAGGATTTTAAATTATTTTTATTAGCTGCTTTCAGTCACCATTCCAGAAACACTCTTCATGGAAATACTGTAATGGCAGTTGCTACGTGACAAAGACTCCAGCCTTAATTTTATGGATAAAGATGTAAAATTGTTTGCTTCTCAGTCTTTATTCATGACAGTTGCTTCCAGGTTTGTGGAAGAACTGGGGCAGGAAGCTTGTTAAGAGGTCAATAATTAGTGCAGGTCTCCCTTTCTGAAACTCACTAAAGCATCACCATCAGGGAAGCTTTACCAGCAGAGACCTGCACCCTTTTTAATGAAAAGTGACTGTTTTCAGTGAAATTCAAGAGTTTAGAAGTGCCTTGTAATGGTTTGTCATCATTTCCACCCAAGGTGAAAGCCCTGATGTGCCTGGTGTATTTTTTTACAGTTGTTTGGGGATATTTCCAAGGTGGAAAAGGCAAGGAATAGAAGAACTTGGAGACACTGTAGAAAATCAGGAGATTTAGGTTAATGTCACTAGAAACTGGGGTTACCCACTGGGTTTGCAACCAGACATAATATGCAAACAGCCATAAAATGAAAACAGCAAGTTTGTGCAGTGCAGTGAGAAAGATCACCACGTTTGAATGTTTTCTGCTCATCAACATGGCCAGGTAACCAGTCAGGGCTTCCATGCTTCCTTTAATCATAGAATCCCAGAATCCCAGACTGGCTTGGGTTGGAAGAGACCTTCAAGATCATCCAGCTCCACCCCCCCTGCATGGGCAGGGACACCTCCCACCAGCCCAGGCTGCTCCAAGCCCCATCCAACCTGCCCTTCAACACTGCCAGGGATGGGGCAGCCACAGCTTCCCTGGGCAACCTGGGCCAGGCTCTCACCACCCTCACAGCACAGAATTTCCTCCTCATGTCTCACCTCAATCTCCCCTCTTCCAGTTTCCATCTATCCCCCTCATCCCATCCCTCCCTGCCCTTGTTCCAAGCCCCTCCCCAGCTTTCCTGGAGCCCCTTCAGGCACTGGAAGCTGCTCTAAGGTCTCCCTGGAGCCTTCTCTTCTCCAGGCTGAACACCCCAACTCTCCCAGCCTGGCTCCAGAGCAGAGCTGCTCCAGCTCTCTCATCATCTCTGTCATCTCCTCTGGACTCTCTCCATGAGCTCCATGTTCTCCTTATGTTGGGGGCTCCAGAACTGGACACTGTACTCCAGGTGGGGTCTCAGGAGGGCAGAGCAGGGAAGCAGAATCACCTCCCTTGACCTGCTGCTTATAAATCTCTCACCTCCTTCCTGCCCTTCACTCTAAGGACCAAAGCCAGACTCCAAGCAGAAACCAACACAGGTTCAGAACTGTTAACATGAACATCAGATGTATGAATTTATTCAAAACTGTGGAGTACAATTTAGAAGGGCACACAAGTGTTATCTAAAGACAACTTCTGTGCCCAGGGGAGGTTTATTGTTTATTTCCAGTGCCAAGTCTGGTCCATCCACACATTCTGTCAGGGACAAGAGGTTAAATCCGAAGGCAGGTAACCCCCCCACCATGTCAAACTGCAGGTAAGACAATTTTGCATGTGAGCAGAGCTTCCCAGTTATTCATCATGATGCTTTTTTCTTAACAAGAACAAGCATGGTTCCTTACCACAAAGCTGTCTTTTCAATAAGGATAATACTCCAGTAATGTATAATTACAATCTAACAATTTAAGACTCAGGAGAACTGTAAAACAACTGTAAAGGACTTGGATTATTACAGTTCACAAATGGACCAGAAAAGCTATTTACCATCATTACAAAGTTGGTTCATATTGGGGGTTTTAGTGCATATGAAAAGCACTGCCTGCTACAGAATTAAATTTAATTTTACTGCTCTACCAACCAACTGTACAAAAACTGGAATCTGTCCCCATGGCTTGTGGAGGATTTTTCCCATAGCATTAGAAAGAAACAAAAAAAAAAATCCCCAACAATAGTGAAATTTTGCAACTGTAGCATTAATAGGACACCTGCTGAAGTCCCAATTCCAAAAATTCACAGTCTCTAAGGCATCTAATACCAGATTTTTATTTCTGTACCATTCTTTTTAATAACAACATCTAATTAAAACATCTGTAAAACACTGACAGTTTTAATTTTATCTGAGATTTGAAAAACAAAATAACAGGATCTGTTCTAATGAGAGGAAAGATACCAGCAGTAGATATTATTAAACAATGGTGTTGTTTTAATTTAAAAATCACTCCTAAATTTGCATAATCGCTAAATTAGAGCAGAATCCCACTCAGTGAAATCACTACAGGCTGGCTAAGGCTCTGTTAGTCTTCCAGGTTTAGTTACTTGAGTATTTCCAGTAGGGTGGTGGGGTTTTTTTTCAGTTTAGTTTCTTCAGCAGAAGAACATGAGACTTCCCAGGCAGGGCTTTTTATTTCTTGAAAACTGACAATAAGCAGAACTCCTTGCCATGCTCCCATTCAGGAAGTTTCTGTCTCACCTGCTGGTATCCATGATTCCTACTCGCATCCTTGTGCAACTACTGGAGGAAAGGGGCTGGGACTGTGTCCATGCTGATCCTCTGCCCTTTCCCAGCTGGAGTGGAAGAAGCTCCTGGCCTGGGTTCTGATGCAATGCATGCATTGATCCTGTGACCTTGATTTCTGAAGCAAGAGTAAAGGAAATGATGTGAAATGGATGGTTCTTCAAACTGACCTGTTCCCTTTCTCATAGCAGACTCTCTAGGATATGTTCCACTGCCTCTGGGAAATTCCCACAAGTTAAGTAAGGAGCTGGATTGATTTTGCCTTCATCTGCTGGTCGGTATTTACCTGTAACAGATTAACAAACACATACATTTATTAAGTTCCTCTGGGCATTTTTTTCTTTCCCCCTGAAAAATACAGCCTCCTCAGATCAGTAACAAGCAGACACTGTAGGAGGAATGTCCATCTGAGCTTCTCCTGCAACCAACATCTCAAGTCTTTCCCAAACCAACAATGAGCTTCACCAAAGATTCCTCCAGGGGTGACTCTGGCTCAGAACTTTTGTTGCTGGTGCACGGGTTTCTCTCTGCTGTACTGAAACTATTCTCTCATGGAGTACTCAGATATTTGATGACTGTTATGAACACTGTTATCATCTTCCCTCTGCCTTTTATAAGGAAGAGTAGGATTACGGGCTTTCCTTCTGAACATACTGGACTGTGTGGCCTGAGCAGCTGCCACCTCAGAAGGACCTTACTCAGGCCATGGCACCATCAGTAAAATCAGTAATACCTGCCAGTTCCTCGAGGCTGCACTTTGGTCAGAAGCAACATTACTTTTATAATAACCAGTGTAATCACTAGGGAATGTCACTGGAGCTCCTAAAGGATCAGAAGTTACATTGCTATGACTGATTCTGGTAATCTAAGATATCACAACAGTTCTGGTTTTTGGTTAGAGCTTGGGATTTCAGAGGAAAAACATACACACCTTTAAGATCAGTTGCCTTCACAGAATCATAGAATGGTTTGGGTTGGAAGGGACCTTGAAGATCATCTAGTTCCAACCCCCCTGCACGGGCAGGGACACCTCCCACCAGCCCAGGCTGCTCCAAGCCCCATCCAACCTGCCCTTCCAACACTGCCAGGGATGGGGCAGCCACGGCTTCCCTGGGCAACCTGGGCCAGGCTCTCACCACCCTCACACCAAAGAATTTCCTCCTCATGTCTCACCTCAATCTCCCCTCTTCCAGTTTCAATCCATTCCCCCTCATCCCATCCCTCCCTGCCCTTGTCCCAAGTCCCTCCCCAGCTTTCCTGGAGCCCCTTCAGGCACTGGAAGCTGCTCTAAGGTCTCCCTGGAGCCTTCTCTTTTCCAGGCTAAACACCCCAACTTCCTAGCCTGTCTCCAGAGCACAGCTGCTCATCTGTTACTTGATATCACCTGTCAGGCTGTGGGTTGTGCTCTACCCCTGTTGTTGAGACATTAAATGTAATGGCCCGTCATAACTTAAGCACAATCTACCGCTTAACAGGCTGCCACCCTGCAGCTAAGGAAATTCACCCCAAAATGCATGGGGTGATGGACTGAGGGTGTCCCAGCAGCCCTAATAAGCCTCAGAAATGGCAGGTCCTGTACCCCTGTACTCAGCCTTGGTGAAGAGACACCTGCAATCCTGGGGTCAGGTCTGGGCCCCTCAGGACAAGAAGGAGATGGAGGGGCTGGAGCGTGTCCAGAGAAGGGCAAGGGAGCTGGGGCAGGGTCTGGAGCACAAGGGTGAGGAGGAGCAGCTGAGGGAGCTGGGGGTGTCCAGGCTGGAGCAAAGGAGGCAGAGGGGAGACCTTCTGGCTCTGCAGCTGCCTGAGAGGAGGTTGGAGCCAGGGGGGTCGGGCTCTGCTCCCCAGGAACAAGGGATGGGACAAGACGAGATGGGCTGCAGTGGTGCCAGGGGAGGCTGAGATGGGAGGTTGGGCAGCATTTCTTGCTGGCCAGGGTTGTCAGGCCCTGGCCCAGGCTGCCCAGGGCAGGGCTGGAGGCCCCATCCCTGGAGGGGTTTCCAAGCCGTGTAGATGTGCTGAGGGACATGGGGCAGGGGTGGCCTGGGCAGGGCTGGGGGAGTGGTTGGGCCGGGTGATCTGAGAGGCCTTTTCCAACCAAGGTAATTCTGTGAAGTAACAGCTCCATGGAGTACTCACCAGTCCTTACCAAAATCCCACGCATGCCTGCATTCTGGGCACCACCAACATCATCCCTGCAGTCCTGGGAGAGAAGAGGAGATCAGCAGGTTGGGTGAGCACAAATGCAACTCGTTAAAAAGTCTTGCAGGACATTCTCTCCTTTGCACACCACTAACCAGCCACTTACAGAATCAATTCCTGTAGCTGCCTAACAGCCAAACTGTCATATTTACCAGGTGCTTTCTGCTGGATCAAATAGTAACTAAAGTAAGAGAACTAATCCCACAGATGACACATAGCAACCTGCAAGTTCTGATGGTTCAAGTTTCACCCCTTGTTTAATCCCAGGGCTTTCAGACCGATCAGTCCATGGCATTTGGGAGGCACCACACAATGTTACCAGGCAGGTGAGGAGGTTTTGGATCCCCACGTACATCACCAATCATGACAGCCTCTTCTGGGGTACAGTCCATCCCCCGTAAAGCTTCTAGGAAGAAGGTCTTCTCTGGCTTCCCCACCACCATTGCTTTGGTGTCCGTGGCATATTCCAGCCCAGTTACAAAAGGTCCAGGTCCCAGGGCCAAGCCATCTTTTTTCTTGAAATATCTGGCTTTATGTATAGCTATAAGTGGAGCACCATCCAAAATCAACCTAAGGAAACAATGAAGAAGAAAGTATAAAAATGGTATTAAAAAGCCCTGATATCCTCTGGAGCCAGGCTGGGGGAGTTGGGGTGTTCAGCCTGGAGAAGAGAAGGCTCCAGGGAGACCTTAGAGCACCTTCCAGTGCCTGAAGGGGCTCCAGGAAAGCTGGGGAGGGACTTGGGACAAGGGCAGGGAGGGATGGGATGAGGGGAATGGATTAAAACTGGAGGAGGGGAGATTTGAGGTCAGACATTAGGAGGAAATTATTCACTGTGAGGGTGGTGAGACACTGTGACAAGTTGCCCAGGGAAGCTGTGATTTCCCTATCCCTGGAGCAGCTGAGGGAGCTGGGGGTGTCCAGCCTGGAGCAAAGGAGGTTGAGGGGAGACCTTCTGGCTCTGCAGCTGCCTGAGAGGAGGTTGGAGCCAGGGGGGTCAGGCTCTGCTCCCAAGTGACTATCAACAGGATGAGAGAAAATGGCCTCAGGTTGCACAAGGGGAGGTTTAGATTGGATATTAGGAAGAATTTCTTACTGAAAGAGTGGTCAGGCACTGGCACAGGCTGGCCCTGGGAGG